GAAATGAGCAATCATGTGAAAAGAATAATAAAAGGATGACAATCATACAAAAATTAAATATTTGATTGTTAGACAATTAACGGTCAAAGTTAACAGCAAAATGGATGGCATCCAATTAAAGATGACACCTAACAGAAAAAGAGTAGTAGAGGGATGACAATTATGGTGTAAGAAAAGTAGAGGATGACATGGAATATTTCCTTAGTAGAGGGATGGTAATGAACATTTTTACAAAGTATGAGGACTACAGTTGGCTTTAAGCCCAAACAAAATAATGACGAAAGCGAATACGTATTCGGGATTTCAAAAGAAGCTCTTTGTCATGTCCTTTCTAGGTTTCCTTTTACCATTCGATTTCCCTCCCATCTCCTATTTATAGGGACATTGTTCAAATCTAGTGCCAACCACAATCGCTGAGAAATGCTACACGAAGACCTTTCTTCAAAATCTCAGTAATCATTTTCTCAATTACTTCCTTCATCTCCAATTTCTTCAAAGAAAATGGGCAGCGAAATTCTGCAGCTTCACATCTTCTTCTTCCCTTTCATGGCTCATGGCCACATGATACCAACTGTGGACATGGCAAAGCTGTTCGCCTTGCACGGTGTCAAGACAACCATCGTCACCACTCCTCTCAATGCTCCTTTCTTCTCCAAAACAATTGAAAGGAGCAAGAATTCTGGTGTTGATGTGGATATCAAAATCATCAAGTTCCCTTCTGCTCAAGTTGGATTACCGGAAGGATTTGAGAGCCTGGAGCCATCCAAAGGAATGGGGATGGATGTGATAAGCAAATTTTTCTTGGCAACATCTTTGCTCCAAGAACCCCTTGAGCAGCTGCTTCAAGAATTCAAACCGGATTGCTTGGTTGCTGATATGTTCTTCCCTTGGGCTACTGATGCTGCGAAGAAGTTTGAAATTCCCAGGTTGGTGTTTCATGGAACTAGCTTCTTTTCATTGTGCGTAACAGAGTGTTTGAGACAATATGAGCCGCACAAGAAAGTTGAGTCAGATGATGAACCATTTGTGGTGCCAAATCTTCCTGGTGACATTGAGTTGACGAGGAAGAAGCTACCAGACTTCATGATGCAGGAAATTGAAACCGACTTCACCAAGATGTTGAAAGCATCCAGAGAATCAGAGATGAAAACCAACGGGGTGGTTGTTAACAGTTTTTATGAATTGGAGGCGAGTTATGCTGATTTTTATAGGAATTTTTTGGGAAGAAAGGCATGGCACATTGGCCCTGTTTCGCTCTGCAACAGGAGAATTGAAGATAAAGCAGAGAGGGGGAAGAAAGCATCCATTGATGAACACGAGTGCTTGAAGTGGCTTGATTCAAAAAAACCCAATTCGGTGGTTTACGTTTGTTTTGGAAGTACGGTCAACTTCACTTCAGCCCAATTGAAGGAGATTGCAATGGGGCTCGAAGATTCAGGACAAGAGTTCATTTGGGTGGTTAGGTTAGACAAAGGCAATGAAGAAGAGGAATGGTTACCCGAAGGGTTCGAGGAGAGAACGAAAGGGAAAGGCTTGATAATAAGAGGATGGGCGCCACAGGTGCTGATTCTGGAGCATCCTGCAGTTGGAGGATTTGTGACTCATTGTGGGTGGAATTCAACTTTGGAAGGTGTGTCTGCTGGCGTACCAATGGTCACATGGCCGATCGCGGCAGAGCAATTCTACAATGAGAAGCTGGTGACTGATGTTCTTAAGATTGGAGTTTCTGTTGGGGTTAAGCGGTGGGTGAGGGTGGTGGGTGATTTCGTGAACAGAGATGCAGTAGGCAAAGTGGTGAAGGTAATAATGGTGGGAGAGAAAGCAGAGGAAATGAGAAGTAGGGCAAAGGCACTTGGAGAAATGGCAAAAAGGGCAGTTGAGAAAGATGGTTCTTCTTACTCGGATTTGAATGCTTTGATTCAGGAATTGAGTCAGCGTCGTGGTCGTTGAACTAGGAAGAAAAATATCAACAGAATTTAATGGTTGTAGTCATGAAGATATCGCAAATGCTTTAATTCGAGAACCATGTCAAACATGTATTTTCTGTAACACACACAAAAACTTTAATCGTCTATGGTTTAACAAATGTCAAACATGTACTTTCTGTTGCGTGATGTGCTCATTCTCACGTTAGCGAGAAAGCAAGTTTATGATTGATGTAATAGAGTGACAATAACAACCGTTACTAATAACTTAATTTGTAATTTTTTTTCTTCAAAGAAGATCATTTAATTAATTGGGTGCATGCGGTGGGCTATTTAGATAAGGGTAATGCATTGGTGGGGAGTGCAGGTGGTATTGTCAAGGGATATACCAGCTGTTACGGGGAAGCTTGGCCGTATTGGCATTAATTTATTTTGTGGTTTTAGCGTGTGTGGGCGTAGAGAAATTCAGTACTGTTTTGACATTAAAGTAGAAGTGGGAGACAGCTCTTGGTTCTTATTCAGATCAAGACTTTTTCCTTGGGACTAAAGTTGTGTTTTTACTTTTCAAGAATGGCGATTTGAACCAATTAAAGACTTTGTGCTACATCAATTATGGACTACCGTAAGAATCTGAAAGCTCTTCGCAAGATTTCTACTGCCACTTTATGACCAGCAACGAAATGAGCAAGGGGAATAGGAAACAACCTTGAGGACCCAATTCCACGTGGTTTCGAGTTGCATTTTTTAGTTCTTTATGTGTTTATTTGTTCTGTGGAATTTTTTGAGTTCTGGTGCTTTAAGGTTTGGGGGATTGGAAGCTTTTATGTATGCGCACCCAGTGCTCGATGTAATGCCCAAGAGAGGCGCATTGTTTTGTTTGTGACATATTCTGGGTTTCCATTTGCTAGACTTGGAAATTATCCTGATTTATTTCAGTTGTAATTGGGGAGCTGTGTACATGAGGTTGTAATGGGTTGACGTATCCTGTACCTTTTTACTAAAAGATATTTCTTTGCTGGTTAAAAATAAATTTGAATGATTTTACCAACAAATTAGTACGACAGAAAATTACAGGCTTTTGTTATGCATGCGCTTCAAAAGTGAAAATTTACACTTGATATTGTGATTCACTTATCTCCTTTTCAAGATTGAAATTTACACTCGGGATTTCTTTAATCTGTGCACATTTTAATAATGAATTTATATAGAATAAAAATTTATTTTAATTTTATTAGTTTAATGTTTAATTAAAATTATTTACATAATATTGGTTTTGAAATTATTTTCTTTTTATATATTTTTTAAAATATTAATTACAAAAAATTA